GTAAGTTTCCTAGAAAATCCGATATTTTCTACTTGTAAAGCGTTGTGGTCATAAAACCCTAAGACTGTAAAATGGTGTTTGTATGGTTTCGTAACTACATAATTGTATATGTATTTCGTAAATTTTACAGTGGAGTTAATCTCTATGTGAGTCGTTATAACCATTTTTGATATGACTGATTTGCCTATCATGACATTTTCCAGGCATCGACTTGTTTAAGGTAAGACATTTGTCATCCTAGACTGCCCTAGTCTAGCCGTAGCGAACAGCTTAGGTGCAGGGCTGTCAACCTTGTATAAATTTATATATAAACTCTGGCTCTCCCTCCAGGAGACTCTGATTATAACTAGAAGACTTAAGGTTGTACACTAGGTAGGTACGAATGAAAGAACGTCTCACACGAACCTTAACTAAATTTACGCGAACATTGTATCACATTGTTTACCATTTTAAAATAATGTTTCAAGTATGCATTTGATTAGAAAACATTGGTGAAAATACTACCATTTGTTTTTATCAAAGTGTTAAGTATTGTTCATTATAACATAATACGTGTCGGGAGGCCCAATAAGAAAACCAATTGGCGTATAATGACCAAATGACATATAATGAGAACACAAGGCCAATTAAGCATGTAAATAGGAATTTAAGGCCCAATAAGCATTTGAATAGGTATTTAAGGCCCAATAAATATGTGAATACGCATTTAAGGCGCAATAAACATGTAAATATGTATTTAAGGCACAATAAACATGTAAATATGTATTTAAGACCCAATAACCATGAAATTTGTATACAAGATCCAATAACCATGAAATGTGTATAAGACCCAATTAAAGTGGAAATGTCGTAATTAACCCGATTGTTATTATAATACTAGTTTTGTTCCATTATTTGCCAAAATCACATAAAAGACCCACTTCTAGTAAAAATGGTATTCTTGGCCCATTATGCCGATAATTTACATTACATGACCATTTTTGATAAAAATGACACTTTAGGCCCCTTTACGATCGAAAGTTTACAATTAAGGCCCATTTTGGTAAAAATTACATTTTCAGCCCACTTTTGATAAAATTAACATTTTTGGCCCAATTTTAATGGAAATGACATTTTTCGCCCAAATATATTGGAAATAACATTTTTGGCCCCAATTTAATGGAAATGACATTTTTGGCCCAAATATATTGGAAATAACATTTTCATCCCAAATTTAATGGAAACGACATTTTATGTCCATAAAGGCCAAAATTTACATTTTAGCCCCTTAAACCCGAAAAGGCCCAAATAGAAGCCAATATTGTGAATATGAACACTTTTGATTGCAAAGTTATAACTAAATATTATAACTAGTGATCAAAGAATTTGATAAAAATCAACAACTTTGGTTGCAAAGTTATAACTAAACATTATAATTAGTGATCAAAGAATTTGATACATAAATGGATGCAAATAAACTTCGATTTTTTCAATTAAATCTATTAAAAACATACCATAAATATTTTCTCGAGAAATTGATGAAACTGTATTAAATAATGTTTTATAAAATTTGGCAAAAAAATATAAGAATATATTATAATTTTTTTTTTCATATTTATATAAACAACTTCAACGATTATTATTGAATAAATCTTTATTTATAAATTTGTCAAAAATATAATATTTGTATCTTCGAACGTTTTTTTAAGCTTTGTATTTTTTTTTCAAATTGTTTATCATTAATAAAGTTAGAAAAATTATAAGTAACAAAAAAAAGCTTTTATATATACACATATATATATATATATATATATATATATATATATATATATATATATATATATATATATATATATATATGTTTTTTAGGCTAGAAGATGTCTGAAGATGTTAGAAGATTTTGGTCGACATCTGCACCAATAAGAGATGCGCATGCATTTGTATGTCTGCAGTCTCCAAAAATAACAAACAGCTTGCGAAGGCTAATGTCTGCGTGTGGTTTGCGCGGCGCAGATAGAAGAGGTCACGCAGATCTGCAGACAAAAAAAAAAAAGACTACCTAAGTCTTGAATTTGAATTATGTTGGTTTGTTATGCTTATTTAGTTTTTGCATTACGCTAGTTGCATATTGTCTGTATTTGTTTTAAAAAATAGGTTTGGTCTATATAACTGAATCTATGAAAAATATTAAAAAAAAATAACCTATATCGATGACATGTCATTGACATAAGCTCTAACTGTAAAAACGGTTTTGATCTAGCTATATGACGACAAATCTTCGCTACAACTCAAAATGGAAAAATCGTTACCCACTTTTCCTGACAACATGTTGTCGCAATAGGTTAATGTGCCCCGATGACATGTCGTCGGTATAGAGTGCATCTTTCCCGACGATAAATCGTCGATAAGACTAAATAGTAAAACCTTTTTTTTTTTGAAAGTAACTTCCGACGACCCTTTGTAGACAACTCGTAGTTGGTATAGGGGGGCACTACCCTGACGAATTTTTCCACTTCTATCGACGAGCTGTACTGACGACCCTTTTGACGACTTGTCTTCAGTATAGGCTTTCCGAACGACATGTCGTCAGCATACGAGAATAGTATTAAATGTGGTCGGCATAGGGGTGGATTTTTGTAGTGATTTTATTTTATAATTCAACAAAGTAATTAAAACCTAATGATACATTGAAAGGAAGAAGTTAATATCTCCTATTGAGAAATGTAGATAAAAAACTGTAGTAGGAGAGGGAATAACGAGAAATGAGCTGTGTATATGGCACATGAATCTACCCTCCTTTACTCCAAGACATTTTCTTCGACCATAAAACAAGCTTATGTTATTTTTTTCGTTGAAAATGGCGCACCACCTTAAGTTAGGTTTTAGCATAAAATAGTAATCGTAGAAGATCTAGATTCTCTTTCAAAGAATCTATACAGAGTGTCCTCAAGTTACGGTTAGGGACGGTCTAGACGGTGGGCAACCCGGGCAACTGCCCGGGGCCTACGTCTCCAGGGGACCAAATTTTATGGGATATGTAGTGTATATTATTAAAAAAAAAAAGTATTACCTAAATGATTTTTAGAGTGTAAAGTTGGTTCAAACTCATATTAGTTTAAAAGATAAACAATTTGGCTTGCTTGTTATTGCTAATTGAACACGTTCATATATTGAAGAATAAATGATATTTTTTTTAATCTTTGTTTTATTTATGTTTGAAGGACCTTTTTTTTTTTTTCTTTTCGCCCCGGATCTCACATACGTTTGGACCTGCTCTAGTGTCTCCCAACTCAACCATCCGCCAAAGGTTGTTTATTCATGTTATCACTCGTGCATTGGGTATATATGAATATTTATACAATGCCACTTGTGACTTGTATTAGAGTATTATATTTAAATTAATTCAGCAAATCAAAACTCAGATCATGCAATGAAATAAACAATTTAATTTCATTCGTGTTGTAAATTGTAATATTAATTAAGGCATGAGAAGGCTGGAGTATAGGGATTAGTATAATGAAAAGTGAGCTGTATTTGTGGAAGGACGGGAGACAATGCATACGTGGCCACGTAATCAAACGTAATTCATGATCACATTAATATTGACCACCAAACTCCAGCTATTTATTCCATGTTTGTAACCAGATGAAAGACAAAAAACTGAAATCTTATTCTCAGCTTTTAGTTCTTAGAAACAAATGGCTTCTACTTCTTCAAACATAAAACCCCATAGTCATGTCAGGTCCATCAGCTTACCATCTACATCAGACCAGCAATCCGTATTTGATGAGTTGTACAGATTTCAAGGTTCTCAAGAACCCACCTCATCTTGCTCATCATCATCTTTCGTAAGCGATAAACTAAATCGTCTGAATGATATGTATGAATCCATCCAGCCATTCCTTTCATTGCCATCAACCAAACAATCTTTAGTCCAAGGGTCCCTCAAAGAACAGCTAAACAAGTTTTTGGATGAACATATTGGGCTTTTGGATCTGTGTACCATCACCAAGGATGCCTTGTTGATATCACTGGATTATGCCAAGGAACTCCAGTCGGTGATTCGACGCCAGAAAGGAAATGATCACGGGCTGACATCCTCATTTGAGGCCTATCTATCGCACAGGAGAAAAGTGAAGAAGACCGTTTGTAAAACATTGTCAGGTTTGCAGAAGCATTGGTCCTCTTCGGTCAAGGAAGGCCAGAGAACAAAATCAAACATCAATATGTTGAATAAAATGAGACTAAACACAATGGAAGTGTTTGAGTCGTTGTTGACATTCCTTCATCGATCAAACACACAATCAAAAGCCAAAAGGCTGGTCTTTGGTGATGAAGATGATGGGCGGAGAGCGTGCACATGTGATCAAACACTAGAAGAAACTGAAGTTAAGAAGTTGGATCATGAGCTACATGCCCTCATCACCTACAAGAAAACAAAATCAGATAGCTTAGTTTTACACCATATACATGAAGGGTTAGCAGAAATGGAATTCAGCCTCCTAGATCTCAGTGAACAAGTAGACGCCTTTTCAGACACTTGATCAAAACAAGAGTGTCAATTCTAAATATCCTTAATTGTTAGAAAAAAATTGATAACTCCACTATTTAATGATGTACACAGTGTTCTACAAGGCGCGCCATGGCGTGAGGCGTGACTTCGCCGTTAAGAAAAGCTTCATAACGTTGTTGTTAGGTGTGACGTCTGGCAGGACATGATAAGCGCACCATGGCGCGTAATGGCGTGTGTTTTTTCGTTTGAGACACAATTTTTTGCTCTTTGTTAAGTCTTTTCAAATATGAGATACAAGTATTATGGTTTTTGTTAACTTTTTGTTATTAGTTATTGATCTAACACTTCTAAAAATTAGTTATATTGAATATAAATTTATATTTATATGGTAATATAATTTTAAATTAATACAAAATCACCGTCTTACATCACGCCTTGAAAAACGCCATGGCCTGCCATGGCTCGTTAAGTTTGAGGCGTGACCTTGCCGCCACGCCACGCCTCACACCATTTCGAACCTTGGATGTACATGATGTTTAAATAATTAGAATTTTGTTACGATTGAATCACTTTTTAACAGATGGACATCAGTTATGAAGAACTCCATTATTAATTTGATATTTCTCTGATAGAAAATTGAATGATAGACTATTTACAGATGTTATGGATCTCCACAAAATATTTAGAAAAGTTCAGTTTTTGTTTTTTCGACATTCAGACTATGAGTTTTTCACGAAACATGGAAAATAAGGGTCTTGGCAACGGTTTCGTAAAGATGCCCGCCACTTGAAGCTTGGTAGAAAGAAACTAAATATGAAGTTTTCCAGCAGTTACAAGTTCACGAATGAAGTGATAATCTAAGTATATATGCTTTGGCCGTCGATGAGCACTTGATTTTGACTGAGAAATACAACACTTAAATTGTCTCATAAAATAGTCGGCCGGCCGGTAGGTAAAACATTTAGGTCCCGAAGAAGACGTGTAATCTAGATTAATTCAGCAACGGTATTGGCCATAGCCCTATATTCCGACTCACAATTGGATCGCAAGACATTGGGCTCCGCGAGAGAGTGGGCTGCTTTATTGCACTCCACGGCACAAAATTACCTCCAAAAAAGATTGAATAGCCATAGGCCAACATAGATCGATCGATGTTGTCTTCATACAACGAGCCCAATCCACAAGAGAATATCATAATAAAGAGAACTTAGTGGGATAAGAAAAATGATGACCATAAGAGTGATGAGTTATATACATAGCAAACAATCTTATGTGTTCATGCAACCCTAATTGAAAAATCTATGTTTTCTCTATTTGACATACAATCATTGAACACAAATCTAGAAACCCTAGGAGGCATGTACTATTTTTGAAATCAACATAAACTAGGGTTTAGATACATACCTTGATTTCTTATCTAGTAATAACAAAGAATCGTTGAAGATCTTGAACTCTTGAGAGCAAGTGCCTCAAATGTGACACCTCTAATGGCTTACAAACACTCTATGCAAGAGGATGAGAGGAGGTGGGGAGGAGGAGTCACAATATTTGGATCTACTAGGGTTTGGAAGGATGGGGCAGAAATTCTAAGGGGTGAGGCTCTATATATAGATGTTGTTGCTTAGTCCCAAAGCTAGTGTTTGCTGGAGGAAACCCTAATTTCTAGCTTAGGGCCTAAGCAGTCCATAGACTCCTTATCAAAGAGCCTTGGACAAAAACTTATAGGGCATACCTATAGTTTTCTTCCACTCCTTTCAAAGGGACCAATAGCCCAATTTCAAAACTATCAATAAATTGCAAAACAACCCCTGCACTTTCAATCAGTTCCTTTAATCCCAAAAATTAATTCCAAATTAGTTTCTAATTACATACTAATTAATATGTTGATTTCTAATTAATATACTATTGTTATAATATATTAATAAATCATTTTATGTACCAATTTGTTATTCCAAATAATAAATTCAACCTTTCTCTCAAAAAGTCATCATGCATGTAAAGTTGCTAGAGTGAAGGCAACTGAAAAGAACTGTGCTACTATCAATTCAAGTATATATCAATTATAGTTACGGGCTTAGACACCTAATCCAACAGTCTTCCACTTGGATAAGTCTAATAAATATAATTGCAAGTACAACATCAAAATTGACCAGTACATTGTAGCTCTCAAAAGCCGTTGTCGAACTCTGACCCAGTCAGTTACGTGTCCTAAGATAATGTGACAATCCGAAAATTTTTCTATCACGGTAACCCGTTTCCGTCAATAAAGCCCGTTTGTACATCAATTTTTCCCGTTAACTTTTGGATTAAGTTAATTAAATTAATACTTTTATTATGACTTCATGAGTGTTCAAACACATTAGAGACACGTGAAAACAACCTCGATATTCACTTGGAAAATTTTTAGTTTCAACCACGTCGGGTTACAACAACTTAATCGGGTACGATCATGAACTCCATTTAACGACAGTATCAGGTAGATTTCCTCCGGGCCACAAACTCGATCCTTATATAAAGGATGAGTAACCTTCAATTAAGCTTTTTCCCACCTCCTCATAACTTTATCTCTCTACTCTCTCTCTAAAACTCGAGTTTTGATCCAAAAACGCCCCTTCAAGCTCGAAAATCGTAAGTATTCTATCCTGGCTGGTTGTTTAACTTGTTAAGCATGCAAATCTGTGTTTAAACCATCCAAAAATCTAAAAAACTTGTGTTTACGGTTGGGGAACATCTCCCAAAACCGTAAACTCTTATAAAGGGGTTTTGAAGCCCCAAAACCCTTCCAAATCTCTTCTAGTGCTTAGATATGACTTAAGGACTTGAATGAAGGAGCTTAGAACACCAAAACCTTGTCTTTTGGGTAGTAAACATGATTTTATGGCCCAAGAACATTCTTGGACCATAAACACTCCTTCATAGACCATAAACACCTTTTAAGGTGTTAAATTGCCCCTTAAACACCTCCAATAGCTTGCATGAGTGCCTAGGACCTTGTATTCCTTCATATCATGCACCAAAACATGCACAAATGAGCCACACATGAGTTTACGGTTTGGGAAGGTCTCCCAAAACCATAAACACCTCCAAAGGGTGTTTAAGTTCCCTTAATACCTTGCATGGCTTATATTTGAGTCTAGAACTTTGTATGCTTAACCTACAAGCACCAAAACACATGAAGAATGGACCAAGTATGAGTTTACGGCTATAAACTCATATGTTTACGGCAGTAAAATTCCCAAGTTTCCTTCAAGAACTGTAAACCCCTTTTCCAAGGTCATTTCAAGTCCCGATCACTTCCTAAGCCATAGAATCAACCCTAGAACCTTCCCTTGTGCATTATAAGACATTTAAACATCCAAGAACACACCACCCATGAGTTTACAGCCGTAAACTCATGGGGATATGGTCTATGGGCCGTAATCTACCTTAGGAGTTTACTCTTGAAGAGCAAACTCCATATCTAGGCCTTATACCTCCTTAGATGCAACCCGAATCACTCCTAACACTTGAAATGAAGTGTTTTCGTGCCTCAGAGTGTATATTCTTATTTAATTAGTAGTTCAAAGTCTAATTAGATACAATTATGTATCTCTTCATATTACATAGGAACCTCGCGTGTATTCAAGCCCCGAACTGACACTTAGCATCCTAATCGATAGATTTCTCGTCTGGTGAGGTCATACCCCTACATCTTTTTCCGTATTTTTCAATGTTTTCTGGGGGGGGGGGGGGAATACAAGCAAAAGTACAAGGAAATCTTGTACTCAAACTTATTATTTCATTTGAAATGTTCATCTTCCGTATGCTTTTAAAAATGGAAACCGTATTAACCAACCGTTTGACTTGCAGAGTTAGTTTTCAAAATAATAGCGAATCTCATTATAAAATGTTATATTGTATACTTCACAAACGATTTTTCACTTCCTTACTGTTAAAATCATTAATTTTAAAACTCTTGATACGTCCTCTGAAACACTCCACAGAGATACGCGAGTGGAGGACCACCTTTGTGACTAGAATTTAAAACAAGATTTTCCGCATTATTACTTATGAATTCGTTATTCTTAAGATTGGAGACACGTCCTGTGTAACACTCCACAGAGATACGCGAGTGGAGGACCACCCCTGTAACCAGAATCTCTTAGAAGGAGAGTGTGACTTGAGTGTATAGATCATATGGGGCTGACTATCCCGCACCTTGCTGCTAGATATAGTGGGATTGGCAGGTCTACAGGTGACATAATTCATAAATGATACTGGCCTTCCTTTTGCCATATCTAGTTTATCTTATGGTTATAGAACTCGCAAACTCAGATAATGGAGATTTACTTTTTAGTAATAAAGAACTTAGTAAATTAATAACCTTAGGAATTAGTTTACTATTTAATTAATAGTTTTATATACGTGTTAAAACTAACGTACTTTTCATGAATAACCAGGCTTTCAGGAAACTTCACTTAAATGCTACAAGTATGGTAGATACTTGTACACTGCATTCTGAATCGATAACCAACCACCAACTTTTAAGGAAAATAAGGGTTTTTTCTTAGATAACATAACTGTTCTTAACCAAATTGTGTAACAAATGGATAACTCAACTTTTCTTATAAGAAATATAGGATTTTCTTGGATAAAAACTTTTTCAGAAAACCTAAGAAAACTTGTTCTTTTACAGAAACAAACCGCTTATGAACTCTCCAGCTTTATGCTGATATTTTTAAAATTGCTTGTATTCTTAGGTTCTCGTTAGATAGGTACCCCGTGATCTTTTGGAGAAGACGGAGCATATTAGCAGTCTCGTCTTTACTTTTGTTCAAACTAATGTATTTATAAAACATGTATTACTTTGCTTTCAAACAATTGTAAATTTCCTATGTAATGTAATGTTTTGTGTTTACTATGCTTACTATGTACATTGGTTGTGATACTTTACATGACGTCCTCTGCCCCGGAACGTTTCCGCCATCGATTTCGGGATGTGACAGATAAGGGATCATATAATCGTCCGTTCTGCAAGATATCATGTGGAAA